GACGGCGGCTCTGAGGGCGCGGGGGGCGACGCGGCGCTTTTTGGCGGCGCTGTGGGGTCGGACTCCGGGCGCCGCGGCCATGGTGAGTGCCGAGGGCCCGCGGTGCGGGAGGAGGGCGAGGCCCCGTGGCGCCGGCCGACGGGCGGGAGGGACCTGCACAGGCCTGGCCTTCGGGCACGGACTCCGAGTAGCCTCGTTGGACACCTGCCCGGCGCGCTGGTCAGGGACAAGGATGCCCCTGGCATTTCCAGGTTACCTTTGGCTTAAACATCCCGTCGTAGTCTACGAAATTGCCAACCGGAAAATAAACGAGGACAACTTTTTTTTTTAATGAAAGTAATTGTAAAAATATTTGATGGCTAGTGTCATTTGATGTGACTGAAGGTGCTGTTCGTCCTTCTAGATTGTACGCTCGGTGAGAGCAGGGACCGTCTTCGTCATGGCGCGCTCGCTGTAAACGGGGTGACCGGATGTTGAATTAACTCATTTGTTTTGGTGTTATTTTTTGGAGGAATTGTTAATTACCTTCTTGGTGACACCGATTCTTCTTTCCTCTTCCGAAGGCGTCCTTTAGTTTTCCTGCTTTAGAAATTAACGTATTGCGGGTAAATTAACTTGAGAGTAAGTTTTAACTTGCAGCACCACCTAGTGGGGAAATGTTGCATTAAACTCACCCTTTGATTTTCTTACTTTGCTTGTTGGAGCCCATTTGGCAGTTTGAAGTTTTTTCATAGATGAAATTAAAAATATCTCGGAGGCGAAGGAAGATAAGCACCTTGCTTCGTGACCATTAATGTGAGAGCACAAGTTGAGTGCTTACTGCCGCCTAAGCATGTCTCCAGGCATACTTCTAACCAAGATGCTTAAGTAAAATTAGGGTGTTCGGGGAGGAATGAATAAACAGATATAATTTGAGTGGCTGCTACGTGCCAGGCTCTATGCTGGATGCCTTCCCATGCAAGATCTCTTTAAGCCTTTCGAAAATCTCAACAGATACATATTGTAATATCCCCATTACAGACATGAGGATCCTGGTATTCAGAGAGGCTAAGTGATTTGTTCAGCGTCCCACAGCTTAAAGTAACAAAGCTAGATCTTAAATCAAGTTTATGTTCTTCAAATCCTGTACTTTTCCCTTTCCCTCCTCCCAACTTCCATAGAAAAAAAGCTCACAAAGGGTTGTACAGGGAGTGTGTCCCCAAGGAAGCCATTCATGTTATGTAGATGAAATGGCTCTATGTCACAGTCTTGGACATGATCCCTGTTCCTGGGCAGGTGTCTGTGGTGAGCACAGTTCATACTGTTGACCTCATTCGGGATGTGGATGGTGGGCAATGAAGCAGCTCAGGGAGTGTGACTGCTGCATTACCTACAACATGGTTCATAGCTTTCTTTGCAGCTACTCAGTGTGGACACTGATAATTCCATTTCTTTTCCAGAATACCCTGAGTTTACAAAGTATTTAAGTGCTTAATAAGAATTTTAGATGATTTCCTATAGTGAGTCTTTGTGTGAAAAATTTAAGAAATTGTCATTTTTAAAGGAATGAATAGATATTTTAGTTCTTAGTAGTAAATATATTTTGATAACAAACTGTTGAATGTTTTTATCCAAAAGGCATTTTCATTTTTCTCTTTTGTTAGTTGTGGTTAAGGGTAGCTGACCCAGCAAGGAAGAGAAATCAGAAAATTGGTTCATTAGCATCCTTTTAAAATTCTTTATAGAATTAGTTGTCTTAAGTTTGCTGACTTTGCTCTCTGAATTACATTAATGTCAGTGATAAAATATTTTAGGATTTCTGATGTGAAAATGAGTTGCAGTTTCATGGTGGAGGATGCAGCTCAGCCCCCACTGACCCTTTGATGTGGAACTCTCACATTAGTTCAGTCTTTCTGGGTGACAGTCCCTCTCTCACCTGAGCACACAGCAGCCTTGCAAGGTAAGGCAGGAGGTATTGGTTGGCATTTAGGCCAGAATGAGAACAAAGCTCTTCTGACTTCTAGAGTGCTCTTCTTTTCTCCCTCTGGCTATGATGTCTGGTTTTTTTTCTGTTAAGACACAGATAGCATGGGAAACATGGGCCTGTTAACCAATAGAGCTCTGGGTTTGTGATTTTCTTCACCAGGATGAGTAGGAACAAGGTGGACAGTGCACACAGGTGCTTTGGACTGTGCAGTGCTCTGGCCAGACTGTGGAGGGGGTTTGTCTCACTGGCGATCTCAGTCTGATTTATATCTGTAGTCTAGAGGGTCTGTGGACCCTGAGAAGTTATTATATAAAATCCTATGTAAATGTGCATTTGTGTTTCCCCACTGTGGGGTTGGTTTTCATCAGATCTGAAAGGGAATAGAGAACCTGGATAGTTAAGACCCTTGTGAGTAAGCAGCAAAGGCTACTGAGATGGTGTGGGACCATCCAAAGAACAGCAGACCAGGAGTTTAGAGCCCTAAGTTCTAATTCTGGTCCTGTCAGTGGACTTACAGGGTATCCTTAGGAGAGTGTGTTTACCTCAGTTTCCTAAGTCCTAGAATGCTGACCATTGGTAATGGTCTTTGATAAGACCATTGGTCAACCTCAGTGGTATCTGAGAAGCTGATAGAGAGAAGCTGAATTGTGAAGTTGAGGCAGCAGTGAGGGGTGGTGAGACACAAGACCACAGAGGCAACTTACGTTGTGCAGAGTTAGCCTTGTTTTTGTCTATATTTTGAGAACCTTATATTTTGAGAACAAGGGAACCAAAGATGGTTAGAAATTGTGGTCCTTAAGACTTTTTTCTACATTTCTACATAAGGAAAACAACTATAAGGTTATTTAAGTTTAATCTCTACATTTCAGATGGTAACGTGTGTTCTTTTCATAGTCAGCAGATGCTCACTGGTTGACAGCAGAGGAGAGGAAACAAGTTATACTTGACCTCAAAGCAGCAGGATGGTCGGAATTAAGTGAGAGAGATGCCATCTACAAAGAGTTCTCTTTCAAAAATTTTAATCAGGTAATTATTACATATTCTGGTTAGTGCCATGGTCTGTTTTTGTCACCTTAGGCTGTAATTCTTTCTAATACTGCTGATTGTCTGATCCAGGATCCAAATCTTCTCTTCCTTAAGAATTCAGTGATGGTCACTCCATCCCGTTGACAGTTGCTACCACCCAACTGAGTGGGCGATTCTCAGTTCTGGGAGAAGGGGGTGGGTTGTGTCATTTGGAAAATCAAATTCTGAAACCACTATTGCTTTGATTTGGTGTTGGTTAGGGGATTTAGTTTCCTTTCAAATTTCAAATAACATAATAAGAGAGCGTGAGTTTTTTATGTTTATCAGAAGGGGGCAAGTGTAAAAGCAGTTGAGAAACACACAGCAGCTTGACTGATGTCCCTTGATTTTCTTGGATGGTTGTCAAGTTTTCTTTCTCCCTGTGGTTGTACTGCTGTCTCTAAATCATCTCCCAAGCTACACCTTCTTCTCTGATTGGCTCATTTTCCCCAACCCAATAGCCAACATTTGAAGCCTTTCATAAAAGCTGACCTCCCTGTGAAGACTCAGCCTAACAAGGTAACTGTTCCATTAGGGCCCCACCCTGTTCAGAGAGTCATCTCCCATGACTTACCCTTCAGTTCTTACTCCATTGCATTTATATAAGGTCAGTGCTTTTGACTATTTCATGTTTGTTCAGTTAGTTTGCTAATCCTCTGGACAGATTTATTGTTTTTATTTATATTAGGTGTCAGCATCTAGAAGGCAGAGACCGTGTTTGCTTAAATAACTCTCTATTGTACCTAATGCAATTCTGGGTACAAACAGGCAGTTGATAAATGCAGACATCGATTATGGTGTTTGCTAGTTTCTGGAAGGGTGTGTCAAGACCAGATTTCCACCAAAGAAAGCTTCGACATGTTTTCCTAGTAAATGCTGTTGGCTCCACTGAGCTGCATGCCCTGTTCTGCTCTCCATCCATCTGGCTTCCAGCCTTCTGTGAGTCTCCCAACAACTGAGAGGAAACCTGGACCAGGCCAACTGCCTATCCCTGTTGCTCTATGTGCTCAAAAGCTCTTGTCAGGGGCTTAGCACTATGTGGCTGGTGGCAGGGAATCCCATTGGTACAGTAAGCGTGTGCATAAGCTCTAGGTAGCATTTTCCAAGCTTATTAAAATTCTTACATGTGTACAGCTTGACTTCTTTAAGCCTGGGCTAATTTATTGGTCTTGAACATGTGGCTTAAAGTACTTGAGTAGTGTTGCCTTAGGCTCTGCCCATGAGTCAGTCGTCCAGCCCTACTCTAACCTTGTTCTGAGGTGACTTTCAGAAATGGAAGGAAAGGGAAGCTGTCCAGAGCATCCTTGATTAATTGTAACATTCACCAGGAAATTTAATTAACTAGACTTTTTTCCCCCTTTGTCCATCTTTTAGGAAAAAGAGGCAGATGACAAGAAAATAAGCTGATGTCAGGGAACATAATCAGAGAACTAGCACTGAGGTCCTATCCTGGAGTCAGTGTTCCAGCTAGGCTCCTATGACTTCTGCATGTATAGTGGTGGCCTGTAAGTGTCATGACAACTGTTAGTGCCTACCAGCCAGAGACTGCCAGGAACACACCAGTAGTGGAACAACTTGGGCTTATTGCTTGTTGAAGTGAGTTAGAATGCACACCATAGGGAACTGTGGGTGTCTCAGGAAGACAGTGTTACTCATTACAGGGTTTGGGCTTGTGTTAGTGATTTAGGAGAGTTTTTAAGGAATTTGGCTTTGCTCTGGAGTGAATACTGTTAGAAAATGGGTAATTCTATAATTCAGTATTTTTTTTTTCTTAGATTGAAGAAATCCTTTTAAAATTTCTTTTAAGTATAGTTGGTATACAATATTATATTAGTTTCAGGTGTACACATAATTCAGAATTTTAATAAATCTTACCTACAGAGAGAATAAAGAGGTAATTGGTAACGAGAATAGTCACTCATTAGCTGAGAGAGGGGGATGTTTGGTATTTTGTTCATGGTTTGTCTGTATTCAGATAGCATTACAGAGTAGTCTTATTTTTATCTTAATTTCCTAGAGACCACTTGGTCACCTCAAACACAGAACAGGATTTGATCAGGTAAAGGTAAAAGTTGGTGATGACATGTGGCCCAAGGCCCCCATCCAGGATTCCTGCAGCTTTCTCTGAGGGGGGTCTGCTGGGTCCTGATGTCTTCCAGGAGAGGGGGGTGCAAACTACACAAAATGGCGTTGTCTAATGTTGATGTTTACGTTCAACACCAAGGCCTAGTTGACGGTCTCGGGCCAGCTCCTAGTGTCAGGGCTGCTTTTCTCTTTCTCACAATTGATGCTTAAAGTGGTGACCCTGTGGCATTGACAGAGCCTCACTTATCTTTCATTTAGGATGGAAAATCTATTTTTTAAAATTGTAAAACAATAACATAGAACATTAAAATAGGTTGGTATATAAAAAAAATCCCACTGTAAATACTTTCATCTTTTTTTCTATTCTGTTCTAGTCTTTCTCCATAGATGTAGTTTATTCATAATGTGGCCATTGTACATGCAGTTAAATTTTTAGATTTAGTTTAATTTTTATTGTAAAAGGAATATTTGTTAACTTAAATATTTATTCAGCATTTTCTCTGCACGAGGCACTATAAGCTCATGTATGTAGCTTGCATTCTTGTGGGGAAGGTGGGCAATAAACAAATGAATAGATAACATGATTTCATGTTAGGATATCAAAACAGAGAATGATGGAAGGGTGAGTGCACTATTTAAGATGGAGTGGTCTGGAAAGGCCCCTTTGGGGAAGGGACATCTGAGGCCTGAATAAATAACATGAAGGAGCTCAGCTTGTGAAGAACCAAAGGAGGAACATTCCAGACGGAGAGAATTACAAGGACAGAACGCCTGAAGCCAGGGTGATCTTGCTGAGATTCCTCATATATTTTGAAGATATGACAATCGAGACTTGCCGTTAAATTGGATGTGAGAGAGGGGAGTCAAGGGTGATCCCAAGGTTTTAGTTTAAGCTATAGGGTAAAGGGTGGTGCTGTTGGTGTCATTTATTGAGCCAGGGAAGACAGCATGGAGGGCAGGGTATTAAGAATCCTTAATCCTTGTACATCAGGTTTGAGATACTTATTAGTCACCCAAGTGACTATTGGGTTAGCACTTGGATTTATGAGGCTGCAGTGCAGGCCGGAGATACCAGTTTGAGAATCGTCAGAGGGGATAATTGTGAGAGTGCAGTTCTGGATCAGCAAGAGAGGACAGGATGAAATGGGCAGATGGAGGTGCAGACATGATGTGCCCATTAGAAAAAGAAGGCAGAGTCTGTGTGTATAGATGCAGTTAGGTTGCTACATTTGTCCTGGGGAGAAGATAATTCTCTTCTGAATTTTCCTATTTTTTTTAAGTGAGGTCATAAATTGAGAACAAGCAGGGGTGAGAGGGAGGAGTGTTGGAGATCTGGGAAGATAGGAAAAGGAATGGAATGGTCATCTTGGAAATGGGGGCTATGGCAGTGAACTAACGGGGGAAATGTGGCCAGTTGCTGGGTGGTTCTCAGTGTCGCTAGAAATGTGTGGTCAAACATTTAAAGTGAAGATTTTGTGTGTTTTGTCCAGCCACGTTCAGCCGCTTGGGCGCAGGCTTGGAGTAGGTGTGGAATTGAGCTTAACAAGGGCTGAACTTTTGCTAAATGAGTGTAATGGAGCAACAGAGGGGCAGGAGAGAGATGAAAACATAGGATCATGGAGTCTAAGCTGGTGAGGAAGGCAGAGCAGCTGCGATGTGGAGATGGGATAGTGAAGAGATGGGAGTGTCATTTCATATAATCTTTTTGGAGGGCAATTGAGCAATGTCTGTCAACTTTTAAAATACACGTATCCCATTGTCCTGCTCTAGAAATTTATCTTCTAGATGTAATCCTGCATACATGCAAATGGATATGTGAGGATGTCCATTATAGCCCCTATAATTTTTTAGTGGGAGCAAGCATTTCCACGTGCATGTGCACACGTTGGGAAGACTACGTCTCCCTCGCCGCAGCCCTTCCCTTGGCAGGAGTCGGGCAGCCTTCTGTACTCCACGTGCTCCTAGCAGTGGGAGCACCTCTTCTGGCCTCAGCTTTGTAAACTGGAGGGAACCGTCATCAGAACTGGTCCCTTCTTCCTTACGAGAGTTCAGTCCACACTGGGAGTTAGTATATTACATTTTTAATCTTTGCCGAACATATAGGTAAAAAATGTTTAGTTTGTTGGGTTATGAACATTTTTGAGTTTTTTATGTAGTCTTTTCATTTTACCTACAATAAACCTTCAGGAGTAAAATTACACTTGGTTTTTAAATGGTTTGCTTGTGCAGTGTGTGTAAAATGGTATCACAAGTTTGCTTTAGAATTCATTTCTTTTGTTTCTGTAGAAAGTGAACCATACATTTTAGAAACATTTTCAGTGATCCTAGACGAAAAACCTATTTCTCAAAGCTTTGGGTTATCCTAGGTTTTACTCTAATAATAAATAACCAGCAAAATACATTTGAACTTTTTTTCTCTTTGAGGTTTTATCCAGGATATGATTGGTCCACATGCATTTGATAGCTCAGATGGGTTCAAATACTTGGAGATTATAAATATGAAAATTCTTAAGGGATTGTAATAGTGTAGGTGGCTGAAGTGGCCATAGGTTTCAGTTGCTGTTAGCCTGCTGTCCTTGGTGGCAGCACACCTGCAGTATGTTGTTGGTTGATGGACAGTGCGATGATGACAGTGGCTGTGAGTAGTCAGAGCATGGCAGTGCTAGGACTCGAGGCAGGAAGTTTCCATACTTAGAGTGTTCGGACTCAGACAGGGTGGGATTGGCATTTGTAAAGTTTTGCTTTTTTTCTTTTCGTGTGACATAAGGAGGGAAAGGTCTCTAAGTGACATATAAACTTATTCTTAGGTGTTTGGCAACTGCAAGGCATCTGCATTGAAAGAACAAAAGGTCAGCAATGTGAGTGTGAGTGTCCCA